TGAATATAAACAGCGTCACAGCTGATGTTTGAGCTATTTACATACATTTGAATGTATTATTTGCATGTAACCTACAAAAGCATATAGCTGGTAGTCATATTTTATAGCGCTTTGATAGAAACTAACATATTATTATTTAAAGCCCCGCCCTCTAAATCGACCTCAGCCAACCCGATGTCAGAAACCCCTGCACCCAAGATGACTGACAGGCAAAGAGCGTTTCTGATTGGCTGCCAAGTAATTTTGTTCGCCACCTGTTTTACTGACATCTATCAGATAATAAAGACATTTTGCATGTGATATATTACAAAAAAAGAAAAAATGCATCATAATAATCTGGTTTTTAATCATGTTCTGGAAACGTTAGCACAAAAACGGTAATTACACATGGCTCATGGAACATTTGAGTGGGTTCTTCTAACGTCAACGTTACGTCTTGTTTCAGAACGTTCAGAGAACATAGTGTTCGCCAAATGATCAAACGGAATGTTCCCTTAAAGGGGTTACATTGTCTTCTTCTCACTATAGGCCCCGCCCACTGTTCAAATCATAACCGCGGCTGATTACCGAGAAGCCTTAAAGGACACGCCCCTTAAAACAGTTAGTTTTAGACAGAGGGTCAGAATGAGCGTCAAAAATATGTTTTTTTTGTGTGCAGAAAGCTTTATTAACATTATAAGTAAACCTCAAGGAACATTTTAAAATAATGAAAAATCCATGTCATGTCCCCTTTAAGAAAACTGGCTTTAAATCATTTTAGATGAGTAGATTACTTACAAACTGTAATTTGTTGCTGATTTCAGATTGCATGACAAACATGTAATTAGGTGAAAGAGGATCAGAGGAGAAAAAAGTTGGTGCATTTTAATGCGTTTGAAACGCTGATCCACAAAACTGCAGCTTTAAGTGTAAATAAGCAGCTATTTAAGGAAAATGTAAAATATGCAAAAGAGGAATTGGGGAGAATCGATGAATTATGAATGAATTATTGCTATCGTGTAAATAACATGTAAGCATGTCTAATCCACAAAAAAGTAGCTGTAGTCTGATTACGAGAAGCTGTTTATTCTAAAGTGCTTAATTTTTTGGAATCTGAGTGTAATCCAGATGACATGTGATCAGCTGCTGCTGATATGATTTCTGTATCAGTCAGCATGCATGCGGGCTCCGGCTTCAGCGCGCATGCGCGTGTGGACGCGTCTTCTGCGTCTGAGGAAGACAT